TTCATTTGTTTGTAAGTTATAAGCATTTTTATATTTATATATAAAAAGTGGATGTTTCTTGCTGTCCGGTACTGTATTCCGAAGGTCTGGCTGCGCAGCGTCCCATCCCTAATTCTGACACGCAAAATTAAAAAAAATTGATACATACATATTTTTCTTAACGTTTTCAAGTGGAATATTACCAAATCTATATAATTGTTTCATGTTCTTGGCAAATATTAGAAATTAGGATAGTTGCTCAGTAACGTATTATGATCACGAGACTTGCGATTACATAACGACAATTGATTTTATTAAAAATCAAAAAATCAAGTAATCTCGTGATGTGCCTGACTTAATTACTGTATATAATTCCATTTGACCATTTGATAAAAATTAAAAAGAAAAATAACACTTCCATACGTAACTTGTCAATTAAGATGACACAAAAACAAAGGACAACGCCGTTGTATGATCAACTTGAACATGTTGATGTTGTAAGATCGCGAATGAGCTTAGTTAACGAGGTTCAACAGGATTTTATTAATTATATGAGTGACATTAAGGACCCTTCTATTGTGAATTGGTAAGTTTCGTATCAGTCACTATATTTGATATTGTTTTTATATTTATACTTGTGTAGTAAAAAACAAAAATCATTTACTTTTGAGGGATGTTTATCTTAACAGATTTAGCATATTTCTTACAAAGCATTTGAGGTTTTCGCAAACTTTTATTGAATCAAATTTACGAAGAATCGCAGTTTTTCCCAAAGAGGTTCCGCCACCAGATCAAGATGAAAAGATTTCTTTTTTATTACGAACGAAGCGTATTCCTGAGATTGAAGAAGAAGAGGAAAGTATAAAACATAATGTTTCTATCGATGAAGATTTATATCAGGATGAAAAAGACGCTATTGTTGATATGAATGACGAAACAAAATGGGATAAATTATTAAATGAATGGATGTTACGGTACAGTGAACATGCAAAGGTTGCATTGGCTGCTTCAGAATTTTCCGAGAACGTAATTGGAGAAATCAATGTAAAATCAAGAATAGAAGACAATGAAACCGATTCTAATTTAACTACCGAAGAAACTGGATCTCAGGGCGATCTTACTTTGGAGAAGGTTCTTGCATTTATGTCAAGCGGGATTCAGAATAGTAAGTGATCTGCTACAGCATTAAATTTTACTTCACGTTCACTAAATACGTGGCGACCAAAAAGAAAAAAAAAAAAATTAATAAAATTTCTCTTTACCACAAACCTATGTTTTTGGTTACTTCACATAGAAAGTTGATTGCATATCGAAAGTAGTGATCCGATCAAGACAATCGGCCAGACGATTTTATGATGCAACGTAAAAATCTAATAATAATAATAAAATAAGCAGAAATTTTGGCCATAAACTATTTTACGTTCTAATAAAAATGTTACTAAATTTTATAATAAGAACTTAATTCTATCTAAAATGCTTTCATTAAAGGGTCACCTATAACTACAAGTCAGATCATATAAAGTTTATATGATCAAAGATGATCATAATATATGTAATATATAGTAAATTTTATAAGTCATAACAGGTCATAACGATAACTTATAATTAGCCAATAAGTCATAATATTGACGAACTAGCTACTGTAGTTTATTCGGAAGTAGACTATAACGATAGTTAGAAATGGTGATCGACTATACCATGCATGAGATCAATTTTGATAGCATAAACATTGGAATACTATATTCTATTCTACTCTATTCTAAAAAAAAGATCGAATGAACGACCGATCAGTCAATATAATTAACCAAAACATTTCTATCGATCACCATCTCTTAATAATCGGCGTTATGTTGTGATGATTTCAGTGATTATGCTATGAAGATTTAAGTGTAGTAATTATATGTAAATCGTGTGATGTGTATGATGAGTGATCTAGTCCAAGTTTGCTATGCTTAAAGTTATAATGAACGCCAAGAAGTTCCATTATCACTTATTAGGCCTAGTATATCGATATGTGCTATTACTTTACATACCGCAGATTAGCATTTAGGTATACAGATAATATAAACAATAAATTCTATATACAAGCTTATAACATTCAAATATTTATTTTAATAATTTTAACAACAAATTAATATTCAATCACTTTTAAGCTTTCACTATTAATCCATATCATACTATA